CAGCACACGCTCAGCGGCCTAACAGATGCCATCTGTAAAAGCATTTACTTTAAATTAGTGGAATAAGTAATCAAAAGGGCTTTGTACTTAATGCAGAACTTTTGGTGACTATTAAATGCTCATTAGAGGGTGTTTTTGCTGTATGACTGTCAGAATCAGCAGGACGTTTATGATAGATTTCCTGAGTAGGTCAAGATTGAATATGATTTTACAACTTAAATAACATAAATGAATGCAGGTTATTTCAGCATCTCCAGATGTTCTTCTAACTCCCTACCCAGCAAACACACACACACACAAACTAAGAGCCAATTTAAATTTTGCAACAATATTACAGTGCAGATTTCTCTTTTGGACATTTAACTATCCCCTTCCACCTTACTGAGACAAAACATTTCACAAGTGTTAAAAATAAAGGAGGGAAGCAACAATGTCTGGCGTTTGAAAAATACAGTACAGACTGAACCAGTGATGCACATGTACAATGCAGTGTGTGTGTGTGTGTATCTGAACAACTAGAGCTCCCACATCATGTTGCAAGTAGTTTGCTATTTGTAAATTCTTGAGAATGTTTGAAATAGTTTACAATGAGTTACCGGGGAGGAACTACAGTCATACCTTGGTTCTCAGATGGAATCCATTCCGGAAGTCTGTTTGGTTTCTGATTGGCTGCAGGAGTTTCCTGCACTCAATCGAAAGCCGCAGAAGCAGCGTCGGACATTTGGGTTCCAAAGAACGTTCGCAAACTGGAGCACTCACTTCTGGGTTTGTGGAGTTCAGGAGCCAAAATATTCGAGTCGCAAGGCGTTTGACAACCAAAGTATGACTCTATTGGGATCTGAACCCTAGGCTACATCGCCTATTATTTGCTTCATGCCCACTGGCTTTAACAGGTCATTGCTCTGGAATAAGACAGGTATCAGTTGAAGTCATCCTCCAAAGCATGGGGCAAAAGACTTGAAATCAAGGGTTTTGCTTAGGCAAAATCTAAATTTATTTTCTAGTGAGACATCTGATTATGAGGAGAAAGGAGCGCTAAATGGAAGTTGCTCAAACTACACACCCTAAACACTACACAAAATCTGGAAAATCATGTAAAACACCTTCCACACAAAATATTGTAGAACCATTCCAGATCTTTCACAAATGTCAGTTGCGGGTCTCTTTTTCGATAAAAGAAAAATGGTTTGGTGACTGCTATATTCCAGAATAGTGATGATATGGGCACCGACTCCTAGGGGCTGAGGCAGTTTCAGCCCCCACAATAAATGTATTTTTGAGGGGGCTGGATCCCCTCAATTTTCAGAGGGTGTTCGGCTCTACTCCAAGCTCCTTGTGACATTGCACGCACAAGGTCCAGAAACCCCAATCCTCTGAAGAAGCTGGCACCTTTGAGTGACAATAGTCATGTGGGAGAATGCAGTAATATCTGGAAAGAAATGGAAACTATAGTGCTAAAAATGTTACATCTGGAAGGGCCCAGGTCTCTGGATTCCCAAGACATTCCCAAGTCTCAATTTGGACACCAAAATTTATTGAACCATGGGTCTAAAAGAAATAATTCATTTTTTAAAAAATATATTGGTTTTAACATTGAGTGATAAATAACCAAAGCTGCTTCTTTAGATTGTGACTGAAACCCAGTTCCATGGACCAGTACACTGAGATAGCAACTACTAGCAAACATGAGGAAAAAATTTACAGCTGTGAAGAACATTACAGTGTAACCACATGAGGCAGGAGGAAATTCTATGAAGCAGGGCAGAGCAGGATGAAGGAATCAAAGAGAACATCAACCATATAGCAGGCAACTGTATTTGTACTCCTCATCTTTTGAGGGCTGGCAGCTTGGGTGTGGTCACTCTCAATCACCCCACAAGATCCATCAAAACATTACCAATTTAGTGTGGGTTCCGTGTGGAGAAAAACAGCAACCACGCCAGTAACATATGGACAAGGCCCAAGATATCACACTAGTATTTCTTTTAATCTATTCAACTTTTGTTTTGAAGCAACTTGTCTGACCCGGTTTCCTTCTTTGGCCAACAATTTGGTCAGATATTTCATGGCATAGCTTCCACTGTCCCCGGATATGTATGAGTGGGCATCCAAAGGGAAGAATTTTCTAGAGGTGCCAGAACTCACCATGAATGCCTCCCTTGTTCTCTTAGAATGGCAATAGTGCCCACCTGAGAGGTGCTGGAACTGAGTTCCGGTGAGTTCCGGCTGAAGAAAAGCCCTCAGAATCAGACATTAAATATAACGTTAAGAACCCCCCCCTGGTGTTTGTAATGCACTGAAGCCATCAGTGTTTTCCCTCACTATTGGCCAATTCCATAATGCCTCAGCCATTAGGAGCCACTATGCTGCTCTCAGCATGTCGTTTAATCATGTTGTTATCAGTGTGAATGGCCAGTAATTCTTCCTGGAAGGCATTAATGCAGCTGCATAGTTATATTATGATTATATAAATGTTCCTAGTGGGGGTTGGGTACATTCAATAGTCAAAATACAGGGGCAGGGGTGGTCAGGATGACATGGAATAAAAAAGACTGTGTGTTATTTAAGTTCCCAGTTTAAAACAAAGCTGGCAAAACAAAGCTTTTAATACCTCTCTAAAAAAACAACAACAACCCACTGTCATAAAAGGAAAAGTCTGTTGGATCTTTAGAGTGGGGCTGGGCAATTTTTCTAATGCCAAGAGTGACATTATCTTCTTGGCAAGGTTCACGGGGGCACATGCCAGCGGTGGGTGGGGCTAGTGGCAAAAGTCGGTGGGTCAGTGAATGCAGGTATAGTGGTACCTCAGGTTAAGTACTTAATTCGTTCCGGAGGTCCATTCTTAACCTGAAACTGTTCTTAACCTGAAGCACCACTTTAGCTAATGGGGCCTCCTGCTACTGCTGCGCCGCCGGAGCATGACTTCTGTTCTCATCCTGAAGCAAAGTTCTTGACCCAAGGTACTATTTCTGGGCTAGCGGAGTCTGTAACCTGAAGCGTATGTAACCTGAAGTGTATGTAACCCGAGGTACCACTGTATTACTTTTGTACAGTAGACTGGTCTCTACACACACTTGCCCCCTCCCCTCCCTATCCAGGCAAACAAGAGCCATTGTTAGAGTTCAAGCACACATTCCAGCCAGGCAAAAACACTCCTGGAGGAACAGGGCCAGTGGAGTGTGTGGTTTGGGGAGAGTCCCACGAGCCAGATAGAGAGCTGTATTCTGCCCCTGGGCCTGAGGTTACTCACACCTGCTTTTGTAGTTATGGTGTCTGAAGCGATCTGCAGTAAATCACACAGAGCAGCTGAAGTTAACTCTCTGTTGGAAAAAACAGCATATGCATAGGGAGTGCCAGGCCACTGAGCACAGCAATTGTCTTTGCTATAAGTCAGTGGCAGAGGTGAAATGTCCCTGCCTCCACACAGCTGCCTGTCTCCTCCTTTTCTGGGTTTTCCCCAAGCAATCTGAGATTCTGCCGGCATGTCTGCCTTTGCTCTTCCTGCTTCATGACTCTCCTAGTCCTGGGGAGAGAAGGGGAGAACCCCACGATTCTTCACCAGCCTGTCTCATCTCTGCCTCTTGGCATCCCTTCTCTCCTGCCTCCACTTCTGCTTCTGTTTTTGGTCCTTTCTCTGACACAGACTGTCCCTTCGCATTCAACCCTGTTACCTTTTCATCTTCTGACACCCTTTCCTCCCAGTCTTCTCCCTCTGACCACTCACTGTCATCACACCACCAATCCCCAGGCTCTGAGCCTTCTTCCTTCAAAGGTTCCCCAAGTTGGTTTCTCCCACCATTTCTCTGAATCCAACCAGTCCATGAAACATCCCATCATGAAATCTTGGCACGTGTGTTAAGTGCTGTTTCAAAGCAACTACTTTTAACAGCATCAAATCCCTACTTGACCCTTTATTGAAGTAACTTTGCTCCAGGGAACTACTTGTGCCCATTCCCGGAAGCTGATTTAGGTCCGAGTGATACAAGGTAAATTCCAACCTTTGTAATTTTCCTGCATAGTGGATAGTATACCGATAGCATGCTTTGGAGGAATTATGGCTTTCTGAAGCCAGCCCATTGCCCAGCATCACAGAAGTTTCACGAGATGCCACACAAACTGGCATGGATACCATTAGTTTGTAGGAGAAGCACAGGTGATACTGTGTGTATTTCTGCTTGGCTGCAGGCAAGATCAAAAATATCCAGAAGGAATTATCACTGGTATGAAAATTTTAAGGAACGCTCACTACAAAGGAGACTAAAAATATCAGCAAGGTGTGAACATCCCTCTCTTTTTGTACAGGTGGCAAATGCACCATATTATAAAGCTCTTCCTTGACAGTCAGGCTCAACCTGTTCCCTGTCCTGAAATATGTAAAATAATAAGAGCAGCGATAGATCCCTGAACATGAGCATCTGAGCACATGACAGCATGCCTGGAACTACCCCAGGCATCCCTAAATCAAATTGATCTGAGGGTCTTCCTCTTCCGGTAGGGACCCTCTCTTTAAGTTATTAGAGTTTAAGCATTTAATACGTCTATTTTAAACTTACAATGATGTCTGGTGACGGTGGTAATTCACACATGCATCTGCATCCCCAGATGTCTCCACTCTTGCTGTCCTGATGAATATGCATGGATTTGATGAATGTACAAATTGCCTCAGATTGAAATAATATATGGTGCTTGAGATGCTGAAAGTGCGTTCTTCCTTTAAAATGCAGTTCACCACTTCACACATGCAGGTCTTTCCCTGCAGGTCATCTACGTATCAGTAAACCTACATATAAAAGGTCATCTAGCAGTAAACATGCATATAAAATATTGCCAGTTTATTGGACTTCCTACGTTTTCCATAGCTCTGCTACTAAATAGAAGTTATTTTTCCAGCCTGGTCTGTATTCCCAGTGGCTTATATAGCTTCACATGTACAAATCACAAAAAGGTGTGCTGTATGCTGCTGCCTTTCTCCTATATACATCATATACATATACATATACATATACATATACATATACATATATACATATGCATATGCATAGGCATAGGCATAGGCATATACATATGCATATACATATACATATATAGAAAAGAACCCAGACAACAAATATACTGTACACACAAACATACATAGACAAGATTTCCTCTCTTTGCTGTATTTCCAACACAACACTTGATGTGGATCACTCTGAGAATCAATTCATAAGTTTGAATAAGCATAAGAACATACCTTCCAACATTTCTATGATGAAAATAGGGACGTCCCATTCCATAATGATAATTTTATTATTTATACCCCACACATCTTACTGGGTTGCCCCAGCCACTCTGGGCGGCTTCCAAAATATATAAAAATGCAATAAAACATTTTACACACACACACACTCCTCTTCCCTGTACAGCATTGCATCCAGAGCCGGCCCATCCCCCCCCCCCCCGATAACCCTGATGTCCCCCAGATCCCTGGCTGGGGACTGGGAGGGATAAACGCCCAATGCCTGAGCCAAGGTCTACCCACATCTGAAATATAATAAAGTTGTGGCCAATTTTAATCCCATAGCTCATTGTCTTGAGTCGTTATTCCACATGGGGGGGGGGCACCCAGGGTTTGGGGGACTCTGCCTGTCCACGCAATCAAGAATACTGAGCTAAATGGACCAGTTGTATCACTTTGCACAAGGCAGTTTCTTGTGCCCAGACTCATGGGCTGCTGTTGTGATGATTCTCAGAAATCCAGAAGTCCTGGCCATGTAATGATAACGGTCACATCCACACCATACATTTAAAGGACATGACTTCTCCTGAAAGAATATTGGGAATTGTATTGTAACCCTGGTTTAACTCATTTCTGGCACCTCTCAAGTGGGTGCCATTGCCATTACAAGAGAAAAGGGAGGTGTTCATGGTGAGTTCCGGCACCTCTTTTTCTAGAAAGAAAATAGCACCATAGAATCATAGAATCATAGAGTTGGAAGAGACCACAAGGGCCATCGAGTCCAACCCCCTGCCAAGCAGGAAACACCATCAGAGCACTCCTGACATATGGTTGTCAAGCCTCTGCTTAAAGACCTCCAAAGAAGGAGACTCCACCACACGCCTTGGCAGCAAATTCCACTGTCGAACAGCTCTTACTGTCAGGAAGTTCTTCCTAATGTTTAGGTGGAATCTTCTTTCTTGTAGTTTGGATCCATTGCTCTGTGTCCGCTTCTCTGGAGCAGCAGAAAACAACCTTTCTCCCTCCTCTATGTGACATCCTTTTCTATATTTGAACATGGCTATCATATCACCCCTTAACCTCCCTCTTCTCCAGGCTAAACATGCCCAGCTCCCTCAGCCGTTCCTCATAAGGCATCGTTTCCAGGCCTTTGACCATTTTGGTTGCCCTCCTCTGGACACGTTCCAGTTTGTCAGTGTCCTTCTTGAACTGTGGTGCCCAGAACTGGACACAGTACTCCAGGTGAGGTCTGACCAGAGCAGAATACAGTGGCACTATTACTTCCCTTGATCTAGATGCTATACTCCTATTGATGCAGCCCAGAATCGCATTGGCTTTTTTAGCTGCCGTGTCACACTCTTGGCTCATGTCAAGTTTGTGGTCATCCAAGACTCCTAGATCCTTTTCACATGTACTGCTCTCAAGCCAGGTGTCACCCATCTTGTATTTGTGCCTCTCATTTTTTTTGCCCAAGTGCAATACTTTACATTTCTCCCTGTTAAAATTCATCTTGTTTGTTTTGGCCCAGTTCTCTAATCTGTCAAGGTCGTTTTGAAGTGTGATCCTGTCCTCTGGGGTGTTAGCCACCCTCCCAGTTTGGTGTCATCTGCAAATTTGATCAGGATGCCCTTGAGTCCATCATCCAAGTCGTTGATAAAGATGTTGAATAAGACCGGGCCCAAGACAGAACCCTGTGGCACCCCACTAGTCACTCTTCTCCAGGATGAAGAGGAACCGTTGATGAGCACCCTTTGGGTTCGGTCAGTCAGCCAGTTACAAATCCACTGAGTGGTAGCATAGTCAAGACCGCATTTTACCAGCTTCTTTACAAGAATATCATGGGGCACCTTGTCAAATGCCTTGCTGAAATCAAGGTAGGCTACATCCACTGCGTTCCCTTCATCTACCAGGCTTGTAATTCTGTCAAAAACGAGATCAGGTTAGTCTGACATGACTTATTTTTCAGAAATCCATGCTGACTATTGGTGATCACAGCATTCCTTTCTAGGTGCTCACAGACTGTTTGCTTAATGATCTGCTCCAGAATCTTCCCTGGTATTGATGTCAGACTGACTGGGCGGTAATTATTTGGGTCCTCTCTTTTCCCCTTTTTGAAAACATTTGCCCTCCTCCAGTCTGCCGGGACTTCGCCTGTTCTCCAGGAATTCTCAAAGATGACTGCCAGTGGTTCTGAGATCACATCTGCCAGTTCTTTTAATACTCTTGGATGCAGTTCATCTGGCCCTGGAGACTTGAATGCATCTAAACTAGCCAAGTACTCTTGTACTATCTCCTTAGTTATTCTGGGCTGTGTTTCCTTTGCTGAATCATTTGCTCCAAATTCTTCAGGTCGGGCATTGTTTTCTTTATCGGAGAAGACTGAGGCAAAGAAGGCATTGAGGAGTTCAGCCCTTTCTGTGTCCCCTGTTTGCATTTCACCATCTTCTCCTCTGAGTGACCCCACTGTTTCTTTGTTCTTCCTTTTGCTACGAACATACCCATAAAAGCCTTTTTTGTTGCTTTTAACCTCTCTAGCAAGCCTGAGTTCATTCTGTGCTTTAGCTTTTCTGACTTTGTGTCTGCACGTGCTGGCTATTTGTTTGAATTCCTCTTTGGTGGTTTCCCCCCTTTTCCATTTTTTGTACACATCCTTTTTTAATCTTAACTCAGTTAAAAGTTCTTTAGATAGCCACCCTGGCTTCTTTAGGCACCTTCCATGTTTCCGTCTCATTGGTATTGCCTGACGTTGTGCTTTTAGTATCTCCCAGCCATCATGAACTCCCTTTCCTTTTAGTATTACTATCCATGGGATCTCACCCAGCACTTCCCTAAGTTTTATGAAGTCGGCTTTCTTAAAATCAAGAAAGCACCGATTGTAACCCACACAGAGCTATGATTCCCAAGACCCATAAAACCCCAGAATTATTTGGGGGAAGACCTATTGTGGATGTGATTTCTGGCACTGAGAGAGCTCAGAAATTATCTCTTTAGATTACTCTGAACCAGGTAGATGCTGATGCAGGCATATGACTTATGGATTCCCAAATGAAAATTGCAACAGTATCAAAGGGAACCCTTTAAACTATCCTTTGTCTTTGCTTTCCTTATTTGAATCTGATCTTCTTTAAACCCATTGCAAACGCGTATGTCTGTTATATATCCAACCTCATTTTGCACTAATTAACATCCTTCTGTTCTAATTAGGCTTAACACAAAAAGAAGCCTCTTTTTAAAAAAAGAAAGAAAGAAAATAAATGGAGTCTAGGTATATGGTTTACAAAGAGATTTGTGGATGTTTGACTAAAACCTCTGTGCGGATAAAGCATAAACTGAAGCTGGCTATAACAGGTCCAGGCTGCATGACATGGGATGGAAGCCTCTTCCCAACTCTTAATTGCAAATCATTGCTATCTACCACAGTGCATATGCACTGATAACTGTCAGTTTTCTCAGGAAACTAATTAAAACAAAACTGGTAAATGCAGCCCCTCCCAAGTTGCCATCCCATTATTCACATATGGTTTTCCAACTGTTTCAAGTAGCTATGGGGGAGAAATTCTCCTTTGAAGATAAGAAAAGCCCAGCTGGATCAAGCCAAAGGCCTATCTAATCTACCATTTTGTCCTCTTATTTGGCCTCATTGGGAACTGCTACACTGCTGCACCTGGCACTCCCAAATTCTCACATTTTTGCATAAACCAGTGAAGTGAGATTTGTACCTTTGTTGGAAGTCCTTGATTTTCTTTGCTGTTCTTGTTTAGTTATTTAGTCGTTCCGGACTCTTTGTGACCCCATGGACCAGAGCACACCAGGCACTCCTGTCTTCCACTGCCTTCCGCAGTTTGATCAAACTCATGCTGGTAGCTTCGAGAACACTATCCAACCATCTCGTCCTCTGTTGTCCCCTTCTCTTTGTGTCCTCCATCTTTCCCAACATCAGGGTCTTTTCCAGGGAGTCTTCTCTTCTCATGAAGTGGCCAAAGTATTGGAGCCTCAGCTTCAGGATCTGTCCTTCCAGTGAGCACTCAGGGCTGATTTCCTTAAGAATGGATAGGTTTGATCTTCTTGCAGTCCATGGGACTCTCAAGAGTCTCCTCCAGCACCATAATTCAAAAGCATCAATTCTTCAGTGATCAGCCTTCTTTATGGTCCAGCTCTCACTTCCATACATCACTACTGGGAAAACCATAGTTTTAACTATATGGACCTTTGTTGGCAAGGTGATGTCTCTGCTTTTAAGATGCTGTCTAGGTTTGTCATTGCTTTTCTCCCAAGAAGCAGGCGTCTTTTAATTTCGTGGCTGCTGTCACCATCTGCAGTGATCATGGAGCCCAAGAAAGTAAAATCTCTCACTGCCTGCATTTCTTCCCCTTCTATTTGCCAGGAGGTGATGGGACCAGTGGCCATGATCTTCGTTTTTTTGATGTTGAGCTTCAGACCATATTTTGCACTCTCCTTTCTCACCCTCATTAAAAGGTTCTTTAATTCCTCCTCACTTTCTGCCATCAAGGTTGTGTTATCTGCATATCTGAGGTTGTTGATATTTCTTCCGGCAATCTTAATTCCGGCTAGAGATTCATCCAGCCTAGCCTTTCGCATGATGAATTCTGCATATAAGTTAAATAAGCAGGGAGACAATATACAGCCTTGTCATACTCCTTTCCCAATTTTGAACCAATCAGTTGTTCCATATCCAGTTCTAACTTTAGCTTCTTTTCCCACATAGAGATTTCTCAGGAGACAGATGAGGTGATCAGGCACTCCCATTTCTTTAAGAACTTGCCATAGGTTGCTGTGGTCGACATTTTCTTCATGTGTGGCTTCCTTCAATATTTAGGGATAGCAAAGCAGACCTCTCCCATGAATATG